CTGAACTCATGCATCACGGAATCTGAAACAGATCTGGAAGCACTCTCCTGTTCCAAGACAGGGCAAGGTCATCCGAGAGGGGCACGCCGGAGAGATCGATCTGCAAAAGGGCTGGGTCCACCTTCAGACGCTTGCCCTGGCCGGGCTGGGCCGGCAAGCTCTTCCTCCACAGCGCCTTGTCAGCGTTGCGATTGCCAGCCTGCGGATCGTGAAAATAATTCTGGAGTTCACGACGGTTCAAAGGTCGTCCCTCCTTGAAACGATCCTCCCACCATTGGCGGTTGGTGTCCTCCGTCCACCCTCGCGATCTGTGTCACGGTAACTGCTGGGCTCCCAGCGGTCGCTGTCATGGTGCGAGGACGGCTCCTTGTAGTGGGAAGTGGACTCACGCCTGTAATCGTGGTGGGATGACGGCTCACGTCGACTGTCCTGGTAAGAGGATCTCTCCCTCCGGGTCTTTCCCCGGGATTTGCTGGAGGTGCTCCTGCCTCTCGGCGTTCATGGAGACGATGCCTCGAGCAAGATCTCCCCAACTGCTGCATGGCATCATGGAGCAACTGCTCCGCCCTTTCAGCCCTCCGATCAGACTCATCATGATCACGACGGGCCTCACGCAATTGGGTTCCGAGGTCTGCGACCTCCTCGTCGCGGCGCTTCGGCTTGCCCTCCAGGGTTTGTGCCTGGGCCTCAAGAGGAAGATGGCTTGTGGTTGTAGTGAAGGTAGCGGGCGCGGAGGACGGCTGGTTCAATCGCCCTGTAAGGGAATCAGGGTCCCATTTAACGCAAAAAATGCTGAGCGCAGTTTGCCTCTGAGGGCCATGCGGGACGCTGCCTGGGCTGCACTCTCCACCCCTTGGGGTGGGATTGACAATGGGTCCTCCTTCTCCCCCTCTGGGTCGTCGATAACCTCCATGACTTCATCCGCAACCTAATCCGGGGCTGTGCCCGGGTTGGCAGGTTCGGCCTCTGACTGGCAAGTCAAAATGCAGCTGTTGTCTTCACGGTCGTCAGCCTCCAGATACTGTCTGAAACTTGCCAAGACGTCGTTGTAGGCCTTCTCTGCATCGGCTGTGCGATGCGTGCACCACTCGCAGGTACCTTTGCATCTTCCGCCCATGAGGTGCCAGGACTGGGCGGAATTGCAATGCTGCATACCAACGGAGAGGCGAGGCACGCGCAGCAGCATATGCTCAATCAAGATCCCGCCGGCTACAGAACGATGTCTGTTTTGCTTACAAACGACAGAAATGTTTGCAGCTTGATAACCATCGTTCATCGCGGTCTCGACCTTCTGGCGGATGTACCTGCAATGCTGTATGAAGCCGGGATCTGCTGCAATCCCCTCATTATAGAGGGGCGGGCGCCTATGTGGTCGCGAAGCGACATGTCGCGCCACTTCTTCTCCGCGAGTTCCGGATCCAGGCTGCCGGCAGTCGGAAGATATGTAAGATCGAACAGGATTCCGACGAATGCTCCTCCTGCCTCAAATGTCATCTCCGCTGTCCGGAGGTCGCTGAAGTTGTCCGCAAACGCTTGGGGATCCCACTTGTCCCGAACGGTGTTGATGGTCTTCTCGAATGCGTATCCGACAGTAAAAACATCAGCGATCATCTGGGTCTGGCCTCCACCCTCGGTAGAGTCCGCCGTCGGCTGGTTGAGACGCCAATACTGAGTCGATGACACGGCCATTGCAGCGGTCAATCCTTGCTCGGGACTCTCGGTCCGGGGTTCATCCATGTCGTGCATATGCAGTGATGTTGCCTTGCGCTTGCTAGCAGTGCTGTTCGCGCATCTCTCAGCCCTACTCGCCTCAGTTCGGGCAGCTTCTGGGGGTGGCGGAATGGCAAAACCACGTACAAGGCGAGGTTGTCTCCCCTGTAAGAGTCCCTCGGTTAGGTTAATGCATAGCAGACCTGAGTCCGAGGCTCGGTAGAGCTTGATCTCCAGGGCCTTTCTGGGTCTGAGGGTAACCGAACGCTGCATGTGCCGTGATCGTGATACAGATCCTTGGCCATCCCCAACTGAGCTTGTGCGTGGAGTGAAAGCAAGAGTGGGGCGCTACCCGGTATCTCGCGCGAATCAAGTGCTCCACACAACCTTTCCTTTGGGGAAATGTCCGTACCCTCATCCAAACCCAGGGGCAAGAGAGAGAAGGGAAAGGTTCGGGTTCCCTTCGTCGTGGTAGAACCACTCAATCCCTTGAAGGTCTTGGAAGTCTCCTGCGCGAACCTGGTCGAATAACCGAAGTTTGCGTACTTTGCTTTCGCGACTCCAATCCTCACCGTGAACTGTAGAGTTGCACCCTTCATCCAGGACCGCGAAAACATGCTGAGAGGAACGCACGTCAACGACAGGAAGCTTACTCAAACAGGGGTTCGTGTCTGTAACCCCTGATGAGGCTCAGCTATGGCAACCATCGCAGTTCCGGGCCTTCTCGTCGACGATGTGACCTCCCAACTACAGATCTCCCTCGTTATCGTAGGTTCGGTCGCAAAGTGGCCCTCAACTGTCTCCTTGAACTGTTCAAGGGCTGGCACGACTACTTCTACGGAAACTAGATCTGCTGTTCTGCCCACTACAGAGCGCATCATGTCGAAGTCCAGGGTATTAGACTCTCGCAACTGTGCTTCGGCTGCATCTCTAGCCTTTCTCTCTTCCTGGGGCTGCTCATCAAGAGTCATACCACACAGCTTGCACTTCACACGGCTGGTTGTTTTGCTAGAGCCTGAGCGGTCTACTTGGGCATGCGTGCATGTTGCCAAGGTCTGCGCCTTGCGGGTCTTGGTGACTGAACCACAGGTTTTGCAAGTGCGCATATCGATGTACGAGTTGCTCCCTGACTTGCTGAAGGTCTTGCAACCTCCCCTGCACCTGGGTCGGAAGCCTGCGCTGGATGACGCGGTACCTTCACTGCTGGCGATCGGATCAAGCACGGGAGTCGGGGGCATCATCGTACTGAGGGGATGTTTTCTCTCCTGCCTACCTCTATGGGATCCGAATCCTCTACCACATAGTACTCATGCACCCAGTTCAAGAAATCACCCAAACACTTGGACGGGCACTTCTGTGTTTGACCCCAAAGGACATACCCAGGGTAGGCATGCAACACACTCTCATTGTGATGTCCGAAAGTAAACAGAGTATCTGACCCTGGGGGCGGGCTGTCACGCATGGCGGCGGTGGCACCTGATCTGTGAGCACGGGAGTGCACAGGGGCTCCTCCACTCCTTTCAGCGGGACACCCTTCCAGATCTGCTGATGTGTTGGTGAGGTGAACAGATGGGACCTCATCATCTGAGTCGCTCAGGGCTGCAAGGTAGGCTTGCGAGGAAGGTGTAGCTCCGGATTTCCCGGGCGTGGCACCTTTCTCTGTGCCTGGACCACCCTTACCAAAGCCACTCTTAGAACCTGCAGGACTACCCGTAAACCGGCATTCAGCATCACCGACCCAATGGCCGATTGCGCCACAGCGCAAGCAACGGCTGCGAGCCTTCAACTCGGCGAGTTTGGCCTTTCTGTCGGCGATGGAGAGGTTAGATGGGGGAACCTTACCACCCTTCTTACCACCGGTCTTACCTGAACCCTTGCCCTTACCACCTTTCACATTGGCAAGTGTGGTTTGGGCTGCATAAGCCAACTGCAAGGCTTCGGCATGCTCTTCGCCTGGTTCGCCTCCAAGCTCTGTCTGCATAGCTGTGTATGCGCTCAGAGCCAAGGCGAGTACACTGTCATCAACCCATTCGCCTTCGTCACCTTCGACCTCACGCTCCTCGGCCATGTAGGCCTGACCCTCTGGCTCCTGGAATCCATACTCTTCAGCTTCCGCAAAACCTTGAGTCATGTACCCATAGCGAGGTCTCTGCTGGAATTTGGCATTGTCCCACTCAGGCTTGGACCAAGTCCTTGTGGTTGACTTGTCCTTGTCAACAAGCAAGCGTTCGCGCATATGCACAACACTGTGATGCCTGATCAACACGCGTGCGTATTCGTCCACGGTCTCTGTCTGTGCTGCAGTACGCACCATGAGTTGCTCTTGGCGCGACAGTCCAGACAGCTCCACGAGCAGATTTGCACGCGTGGCTTCGGACAGCCTCACTTCCGGGTCCAACTCACTTAGTGTGGTCCACCAGCGCTTTCGGCGGGATATGTAAGATAGCATGGGCTCACCTGGCTGCTTGGACAATGGTCCTGTCAACAACTGTCCTTGCCTGAACAACTCGGACGCCTCCTCCCCTTGTAGGGGAAATGTGTGCTCCTTGACCTTCTGGATGAGGAGATCAATGCCATCCTGCTGCGTCAGTCTCTCGAGACCTACGTCTCGTGCGACAAGGAAAGCATCGCCTCGCAGGCCTTCCTCGTCTTCTTCCCCGTCGGGGTATTGTGGCTGTTGTTCATCTTCGCCACCGTCTTGCGACGACGTCGACTGAGCCCCTTCACGGCGACTCCGTCGTCGACCTGAAGCGCTTGAAGGGCTTGCCGCCATTCCACTGCTCTCGTCACCTGTGTGACGGTCCGGCGACCTTAAACCACCTCCTACCCACTTTCGTGGGGATGCAGACTGACTAAGCTGGTGGCTGGCGCGAAGGTCCTTCAAGACCTCGCGGCGCTGCTTCTCCTTGTGCTGGGAGATCCTAGCACGTGTACGGAACTCCCAATCATGGAAGGACGCGGCAGGGCCACTGTAGATGTAGAGTAGCTCCCCGACTTAGTCTCCGCTGGGGTGTCCAAAGAAAGTATGGGGTCCCGCTACCAGTTTCAGAAGCGGGGTACTGGGGCCGGAGTCACAGCGACAAACTACGCAGCTCCACTTTTCGGTCTGAGCCCAAGGCGCCTGTCAGTACGGAGTTGTTGTAATGCTCTAAACACGAGTGATTGCCCATCTATACAAGCAAACAAGCGCACTCACTCTAGCATCCTAACCTCACGAAGCTCACCCCGGTCCCTAATGGCAGGGGATTTTCAAGGGTTTAGGGTTTAGGGTTTAGGGTTTAGGGTAGCGCCTCGGAGCCTTCTGCGCCCAGGTGCGCCTGCCAAGTCCGGGCACAGCATCTCTAACCTCTAAGAGGTCCATATATGTTCAGGGTTTAGGGTCTAGGGTTTAGGCGGTTTAGGGTTAGGCTGCTACAGGGAAGTGGCCTATTTGGGGGGTTCACGATATTAGGGGTACCTTATTGGGGTCCTTATTCTGATGGGATCGTACTGTTTGGGGGTCTATATTGGGGTCCCCAATTTTCGTAAACCCCCATATGGTGATTTTTTTCCAAATTATGGTCCATAGTGCATAATTACAGGACATCACCCCCCCCCCCCCCCCCCCCCCCCCCCCCCCCCCCCCCCAGAGACCTAAACCCAAACCCTACGCGAAGCAAGGGTTTTACTACCACTTTTCCCAAAAAGGACCCCATGCTATACACTCACCAATACATACCAGTTTCTAGAGGCCCCTGAGAAGCCACCGCCGGGGCAACTGAAGATCTAGGGTTGGTCCAACCTCTTTACCAGGACTTAATCCCTGTTCCCCTAGGAAGAAGAAAGGATCCTTTTTGTCTACATGTAAGAAAGCCCATAACCCAAAAGGTAAAAAGGATCCCTAACACTGATCTAGAGGGGGCAATAAGACACTCGGTCCGCAACCTACTGAGGGTCTGGGTAGCCCAGTCGCCATGTTGTGACAAGGGTACCACAAATGTCAAAGAGCGGTCACATCATGTTCATTCATAAAGGAACCTCCTCATCCAAAAAGGGAAGAGCATACCGCTGGGCTATCAAGGGGCGGTGTGCCTTTAACATCAGTTGACTGAACATGCTGGGCACGGCTTGTAGACACGAATCCCGGGCCGAACTGGCCTGCCTGGCGTGGATCAAAGAAGTCTGAGCCGCAACGTGACAGCTCTTTGTGTCGCCTTGGCTACTTGAAGGTTCATGGCCCATGAACCATGGAGAGTGAAAAGTAGGGCAAGAAAAGCACCCCACTTAGAACTACCCATGAACCTCCAAAGAGCTACTCTGTTTCTGACATTCGGCTCTTAGGCTTACTGGCCCAAAACCAAGGAAACTTTCAGAATAAACTAACTTGTAAGAAGCCCAAAAGTTGAAAAGTTGGGTTTTGAGCCGGTAAGTAGGTACGCCACCTGGGTCTGCAGAAAGGGCACTTTTCGAAAGCGGCAAGGGTGCCCCCGAAACCCTTGAAACCCTTGAAACCCTTACAGCCGAAGCCCTAAACCCTGGACCCCTAAACCCTAAACCCTCAACCCTAAACCCTACACCCTGTCGCCCCCGACCCTCCTAAACCTTCAATGTCGCTTGGGATGCGGGCTGCTGGGTGTGCATGTCGATTCTTCCTGCTTTTGTGGGGGCAAGCATGGAGACGAAATGAACCCTGAAAGGGTTTCGGGTTTAGTGGAGGGTATGTGACCCCAGCTCGAAGGTTCCTCTGGTCCTCTCGAGGAAGGCTGGTCTGCTGGGATGTTCCACCTTATACTAAGAGTCCTCAATAGGGATCATAGTAGGGGGGGGGGGGGGAGGTTACCATAATCAATATTAAGGACTGTTAGTATAATTAAGGAGAAAATCCCAACTGGCCTGGGTAGACCCGAAATGGGAACCAGGGAAGGCATCATCTCTGCTGTCAGGTGCAGGGTTCGGCAACACGCCCGAAGCGGAGGAATGTTTAGGGTTTAGGGTCTAGGGTTCAGGGTTTAAGGTTTAGGGTTTAGGAGCTTGTGGCAAAACGCCCATGTGGCGCCAGTGATCAGCTGACAGCCGAACCGCAAAGCCAAAAAATGTTGCACTGAAAAAAACATATTCAACCCTTGACCCTTCTAAACCCTAAGCCATCAAGTTTAAAAGAAAACGTATAAAGCCATGAAGGATGTGAATCTCCTAAATGTCAGGAAAACTTGGACAATGGCTTTGGAGTCGGACGCCATCAGGCCCAAAAAATCCTGCAAACCCAGAACCCAAACCCTACCAAACTCCCCAAACCCCACAAAATCACCAAAACCCCACCCCCCAACCCCCAAACCGCCCCCACCCCCCCCCCCCCCCCCCCCCCCCCCCCAAACTCCAAACTTACTCTAAACCGACCCCACACCCCCAAACTTTTTATCTGCCAGGAGAGCGCGTTGCCTGAGCAGCCGACAACTTTGCGAATCGATGTGCCACGGAATACATGTCGCGTAGCCTCGAAGAGCAGACTGGTTTAGGGTCTAGGGTTGAGGGCTAAGGGTTAAAGGTTTAGAGTTTAGGGTTTAGGTTTAGTGTTTAGGGGTTATCACATCATCGCCTCATTGGGTTCAGAGTTTGGGGCACGCAGAGTAGCGCCACCTAAGAGGGTGGGGATGTGCTTCCCCTTCTTTCTCAGGCGCAACGGCACAAGGTAAGGCTCACTCTTCCCTCAGCAGCCCACGGTCCCATTCGGGTTCAGGGTTTAAGGTTTAGGGTTTAGGGCTCAGGGTACAGGGCTTCAGGGCTTGGGGCTCTTGGTTTTGTTTAACGGGATGTTGCGGGTGTGTACGGATAGGCCAAGGGCTCAGGGTAAGGGCTTATGGATAAGAGAAAGTTTCAGTAGAAGCGCTGTCGGAGGACCGGTTTCTCACCAAAAGGCCGGGAATCTTAGGGTTTAGGGTTTAGGGTTTAGGGTTTAGGGTTTAGGGTTAGGGTTTAGGGTTTAGGGGGATGAAACAAGAGATTGCACAAACATGGGACTCCTGGTCCTGGTGCTTGCAATTGTTTTTTCTAGATTGCTGGGATCAGGGTCACAATTGGGAGCTAACATGCTCACCCACACAGGGTATAAACTTCAGGGGCAAGAGTCGGATAACAATAACGGCGCTGTTTTGAGCACGTGTACAACTCGAGGAGGGGGGGGGGGGGGGCTTGCCGGGGCTTGCTTCGTACCGGGTTTTAAAAAAAAATGATAAAAAACCCTACAGGGTAGTTACAAGAGCCCTTAGTGTAGGCTTGATACCCTGTACACCCCAAGGGCCCAAGGGTCAAAATGCTTCGGAACTTCTTTTGTCCAGCAAGAGGCATTATTACAGTGGCCATGAAAGTACCCCTGCCAAGAAGTTGAGCAGAATCCTTGGGGTACATATCTACGCCAGAGTACGCGCTTTAGGGCCTAGGGTTCCGAGAATCCCAGTTGAGGTATCTGGAGACGATAGACATGTTTAGGGTCCAATTCGTCTTCAAGGATGGTGCAGCAAAAACTCAAAGTCGCAAAGCCGAAGAAAGAGACCCGACACATCCCTCCGGTGACAAAGGATCCCCCTCCCCTCAGCCCTAACGCCCCCTAAACCCTAAACTCTAAACCCTAAACCCTAAACCCGAAATGGCCCTAAACCCTAAACCCCGATGTCCCCTGGTTCAGTGAGTCTTCCGGATTCCGGGGCTCTCCTTGCGGACCAAACGAACCCTCAAAAACTGCAGTCATGCACCCTATACTACTATCACCCCTGCTAAGGTATATGAACCAGGGTCTTATACTCCATACTACTACTACTACTACTACTACTACTACTACTACTACTACTACTATCCCTACTAAGATATAGGAATACTGCTATAATCCCTATCAAGGTATGTGAGCCATAAACCCAGGGTTCCATTTGGGTTGGGGGTGGTACTTATACCCTTTGCTGCTATGTCCCTATTACGGTATGTGGATAGTACTATAACTAACCCCTATGAAGATATATCCTAAACCCTAAACCCTAAACCTAAACCCTAAACCCTAAAACCGTTTTCGGGGTCCCCAGGGATTGAAGTCTCGGGAAACTCCAGGCTCAGCCGGAGACAGATTTGGCGGCCCCCTGCAACCACCTGCCGGTTTAGGGTTTAGGGTTCAGGGTTTAGGGTTTAGGGTTTGGGGAAGCCCGAAACCCTAAACCCTAAACCTGTTACAACTATGCCCTAAACCCTAAACCCTAAACCCGAAATTTCTAAACATAAGCATGTTATAACTATACCCTAAACCCGAAACCCGGAAGCTTGATGATTTAGGGTACAGCGCTGGACGAGTTCCCTCTCCTCAAACCCTAGACCCTAAACCGTATGACGAAACCTGCACCGGGTAAATGCTTCGAATCGTGTCTTTCAAAGCCCCGGAACTCCGAACTCTAAGCCCTACACCATAAACTCGAGACACTCGGACTCGAATCCCTAAGCCCAAACCCCAAAACCCAAATCTTAGGGTAGTTTCATGGTCCCTTAGTATGGGCCCTTCAACAGGGCCCCCGTATATACCCCTCATATACCCTATACAACCCAAGGCCGTACTTCAGAACCCTTTAATGGAGGTAGGGGACCATATAAAAGCCCATGAAACTACCCTTAGACACAAAACCCGAGAAGTCCCACCGTCCTAGGGTTCGGGGCTTATCCTCTGCGGCACTTTGTAGTCTAGCGGTTTAGGGCTTCGGGTATAGCATATCTACTATTAGGCGCCTTCAGAAAGGACAATACTCGCATTTCTTCGGGCAATTTAAATGCCCCGGCCCGAATTAAAAATTTAAATACCTGGGGCATTTAAATTATTTAAATGGGGGGTCCATTATTTAAATTATTTACCTCCTCGGCTCGTAATTTAGTATTGGCGGAAGGCTCGTGATTAAGTATTGGGGTTCAGGGTTTGGGGTGTTCTTGGCTTAGCCTGTGGGATTTGGGCTTTAGGCTTTGGGGTCTTGGCCTCTATCATCGAGCCATAACCCAACAACTCCGCTTTGGCCCCGGCGCGAAATCCCCGAGCCCCTTCTGAACCCTGAACCCTCAGACTCAGCCCAGGATCCCAACCCACAAAACTCAACCCGAAGAAAGTGTTTAGGGTTTAGGGTTTGGGGTTTAGGGTTTAGGGTTTAGGGTTTAGGGGCTCGGGCTTACACCCTGAACACCCCAAACCCTAAGCCCTGGAGCCCTGGAGCCCAGAAAGGTGCTTGAGCCCCAGCTTCTGGCACCGCTTGTTGCCCTTGGATCTGGGCCTCCTGGATTCAGGGTTTAAGGGTTTAAGGGTTAAGGGTTTAGGGTTTAGGGTCTAGGGTTTAGGGTCTAGGGTTTAGGGTTTAAGGGTTAAGGGTTAAGGGTTAAGGGTTTAGGGTCTAGGGTTTAGGGTTTAGGGTTTAGGGTTTAGGGTTTAGGGTTTAGGGTTTAGGGTTTAGGGTTCAAGGTTCAAGGTTCAGGGTTTAGGGCCTAGGGCTCAGGACTTCTCTGGCCTGCCACCCGCACTTGAGGTGTAAAGCTTAAGTAGTTCTCTATGTCTCGTCGCTTGCGGTATGCCCGTCAGAGTTTTAGGGTTTAGGGTTTAGGGTTGAGGCTTTAGGGTTTAGGGTTTACGGCTTCGGGTTTTTGAGACTGGGCTTTTGCGATTCTGCGGTCCTGCTACAAAGCCTTTTCTGCTTTGAGTCGCAAGGTGCCTTCGGAGAGACATGCTGTAAAAAGAACCCTGAAGTTCCCTAAGCCCCTGACCCTAAACCCTAAACCCTAAACCCCAAACCCCAAACCCTAAACCCTAGTATTAACGGGGTTCTAGAGGAATACACAAAGAAGTATGTTGACACTAGGAGATGTGACCTCGGCTACACGAAGAAAGGATGTCTACACAGGGTGAGTTTCACAAGGGTTGAGGGTTTAGGGCTTAGGGTTTTAGGGGTTTAGGACTTAGGGTGTAGAGTTTACGGTTTAAGGACAACATCCATGAGTCGATGACTGCTGGCGCTTCTCCTCTGCTTCCTCGCGCGCTTTGGCTTGGGCAGCCTAGTCATGGCAGTGAACATACTTTTGGGGTTATGAAGGTGGGGTCTGCTTCTTTTCGGATTTCTGATTTTTGGTTTCAGGGGGTTTGAGGGGGTTTAGGGCCAAGCCATGCCAAGCCTGAAATACAACCAAACATGCAAGACTTCAGGAAGAGAGCTTACCCACCAAGCCCTGAGGGCCGTGCGGCGCGTAGGTCTGCAGAACCTGCAAGCACGGGAATCTCATGACTCCTTTACTGAAAACTTTGATTCTGGGAAAATCTGGATATGTCTCTCCTTTAATGAAAACCTAGGATTCTTGGAAATTCTGGATATTTCCCGAGTTCGTCTTTTTGGTTGAATTGCCGATGATCTGGCTAACATGCCACCCCAAAAGGACATTGCCTGCCGCTAGCTTTTTGTAGTGATTTCTAGCTTCTTCTAGGTTTTTGCTATCCTCCACAGGCAATCCAGAAGTCGAGCCCGGGAAATGCCCAGATATCCGGAAAAACAGCCCGAGCTCTTCCCAGAAATCCGGAAAACGAGCCCGAGCAATTCCCAGAAATCCGGAAATCGAGCCCGAGAAGCTCCCAAGGGGCTTAAGGTTTAGCGTTACGTACTCGTCTAAACTACAGGCTGCAGATTCCTCGAGTTGAGCATCTCACTCGATTCCTTGATATTTCGGTGTGCGATATCAATATACATCCACAATATTCGACTGGAATTGTATGCTTTGTCGATGGCATCTGAACTCCAGGCCCTCCTCCCTTCAGACTTTGATGCAAGAACAGGTGGCAGGAATTATTCAGACTGTTTATAGTTTTTCTTAGAAATTCATGGCTGTTCAGCGCTTCTGCTAGTTATTCATAGTTTGTTATAGTTTTTCCTACGAGGGATGAGAGGCAGCACGCAGAACGGGCCGCTTGAAAAATGAACACGACCATGTGGGAACAGCACAGAAGAACGCATAACGGGCCGCTTGAAAGCATAACGGGCCACTTGAAGGATGAACGCGACCATGTGGGAACAGCACTTTAGCACACATAACGGGCCACTTGAAACATTTTTGGTTTTCCGACTGCAAGAAGATGCCGTTTGAAAAGTGAACACGACCATGTGGGAACAGCACAGTAGCACGGATAACGGGCCACTTGAAAGATGAACACGACCATGCGGGCCACTTCAAAGACGTACACGACCATGTGGGAACACCACAGTAGCACGGCACGCATAACGGGCCCCACTTGAAAAATGAACACGACCATGTGGGAACAGCACAGTAGCACGCATAACGGGCCATTTGAAGGATGAACACGACCATGTGGGAACAGCACCCTAGCACGCATAACGGGCCATTGGAAAGATGAACATGACCCCCCCCCGAAGCATGAGGGATTAGAGGCTTTTCACTGGCCCCTCAAACCCTCCGGGCCCTTCACTCCCACCTGGGTGCCCGAAGCACGAGTGATAACGGGCTCTTCACTGCCCCCTCAGAACACGACCATGCGGGAACAGCACAGCAGCACGCAAAACGGGCCACTTGAAAGATGAACGCGACCATGTGGGAACAGCACTTTAGCACACATAACGGGCCACTTGAAAATTTTGTGTTTTCCGACGGCAAGAAGATGCCGCTTGAAAAGTGAACACGACCATGTGGCAACAGCACAGTAGCACGCATAACGAGCCACTTGAAAGATGAACACGACCATGCGGGCCATTTCAAAAACGTACGCGACCATGTGGGAACAGCACAGAAGCACGGCACGCATAACGGGCCCCACTTGAAAAATGAACACGACCATGTGGGAACAGCACAGTAGCACGCATAACGGGCCACTTGAAAGATGAACACGGCCATGTGGGAACAGCACAGTAGCACGCATAACGGGCCACTTGAAACAAAAATGAACACGACCATGTGGGAACAACACAGTAGCACGCATAACGGGCCACTTGAAAGATGAACACGAGGCAGCACGCCTAACGGGCCATTGGAAAAATGAACACGACCATGTGGGAACAGCACAGTAGCACGCATAACGGGCCATTGGAAAGATGAACATGACTCCGCTGCGATGTGTGTGTCCCTAGCGGCTAAAAGCCGCAGTCGCCGAAGGCGCGGCAGCGCCATCAGCGCAGCGGCAGCCTGCTTTGGCGCGGCGCTTCAGCGAGGTGCAGGACCTGGTCCAGGTCAGGACCAACCCGCTGGCTGGGGTGGGGCACAGGCCAGGAACAGCCCAAGGCCGTGCTGGCGACGGCCTGCTGGACCGACACCGATAGCTGGCTCCACCAGCGCCGTGCCCACGCCGAAGCGGCTGCTTGCCGCAGCGCGGGCGGCGCGCGCTGCGCACGGATCCGGACCAGGTCGCGCACAAGTTGGAGCGCGCCCTGGCTCCGCCCTCCCGCGCACAGCTTCGGGTATGCGTGGCGCTTGCGGCGCTCCGCGACCCGCAGGACCGCTCCGTCCGTCGCAGCAGCGCCGGGCTGCGGCAAGCCCGTCCGGGTCAGCGGGGAGACCAGCGTGGCGTCGCAGCACAGCGCTCCTCCCAGAGGCGTGGCGCCATAGATTACCAGGTCCAAGCGGCGCCTGTCGGAAGGGTCCACCCGGGGGCCGTGGTGTGGGCCAGCCATTGCTGCGGGACTACTTGCCCGTCTGCCCCAACTGCTTCCCGAGCCGCCCGCACCCACGCCCGTTCCACTATCTTGGCACGGCGGGCGAGGAGGCCGCTGCGGGGGCATGCCAAGGCGTGGTCCCCGAAAGCATCTACTTGCACGCCGCACCCCGGAGAGGGCCCACAGCGATCGGAGTGGAGCGGGAGTGCGAGGCGGAGGCGTCGGCGCAGTGCCACCTGCATGGCCTGGGGTTCCAATGTCATGGCGGGCTCAGCGGGCACTGCTGTTAGCCAGGCTCCCGCATGCGGCCCAGCCTGCGAACGCAAAAGCGCAGATGCGGCTGGCGGCAAGGATGGCAATAGCACGCTGTCGCGGAAGTGAAGGTTCCGGGTGCGCGACGCGTAGCTTTGCCAACCATGCGGCCAGTCGCCCAGGCCGGCGTCCGCAAGGGGGCGAGGGCGGGCTTCCTCGGCATGACCCCCCCCCGAAGCATGAGGGATTAGAGGCTTTTCACTGGCCCCTCAAACACTCCCTTCACTCCCACCTGGGTGCCCGAAGCACGAGTGATAACGGGCTCTTCACTGCCCCTCAGAACACGACCATGCGGGAACAGCACAGCAGCACGCAAAACAGGCCGCTTGAAAGATGAACGCGACCATGTGGGAACAGCTTTAGCACACATAACGGGCCACTTGAAAATTTTTGCGATTTCCGACGGCAAGAAGATGCCGCTTGAAAAGTGAACACGACCATGTGGCAGCAGCACAGTAGCACGCATAACAAGCCACTTGAAAGATGAACACGACCATGCGGGCCACTTCAAAAACGTACACGACCATGTGGGAACAGCACAGTAGCACGCATAACGGGCCACTTGAAAAATGAACACGACCGTGCGGGAACAGCACCGTAGCACGCATATTGGGCCACTTGAAAGATGAACACGACCATGCGGGCCACTGGAAAGATGAACACGACCATGTGGGAACAGCACAGTAGCACGCATAACGGGCCATTTGAAGGATGAACACGACCATGTGGGAACAGCACCCTAGCACGCATAACGGGCCATTGGAAGGATGAACATGACCCCCCCCCGAAGCATGAGGGATTAGAGGCTTTTCACTGGCCCCTCAAACCCTCCGGGCCCTTCACTCCCACCTGGGTGCCCGAAGCACGAGTGATAACGGGCTTTTCACTGCCCCCTCAGAACACGACCATGCGGGAACAGCACAGCAGCACGCAAAACGGGCCACTTGAAAGATGAACACGACCATGTGAGAACAGCACTTTAGCACACATAATGGGCCACTTGAAAATTTTTTGGTTTTCCGACGGCAAGAAGATGCCGCTTGAAAAGTGAACACGACCATGTGGCAACAGCACAGTAGCACGCATAACGGGCCACTTGAAAGATGAACACGACCATGCGGGCCATTTCAAAAACGTACACGACCATGTGGGAACAGCAGAGTAGCACGGCACGCATAACGGGCCCCACTTGAAAAATGAACACGACCATGTGGGAACAGCACAGTAGCACGCATAACGGGCCACTTGAATGAACACGACCATGTGGGAACAACACAGTAGCACGCATAACGGGCCACTTGAAAGATGAACACGAGGCTGCACGCCTAACGGTCCACTGGAAAAATTGAACACGACCTTGTGGGAACAGCACCCTAGCACGCATAACGGGCCATTGGAAAGATGAACATGACCCCCCCCCGAAGCATGAGGGATTAGAGGCTTTTCACTGGCCCCTCAAACCCTCCGGGCCCTTCACTCCCACCTGGGTGCCCGAAGCACGAGTGATAACGGGCTTTTCACTGCCCCCTCAGAACACGACCATGCGGGAACAGCACAGCAGCACGCAAAACGGGCCACTTGAAAGATGAACACGACCATGTGAGAACAGCACTTTAGCACACATAATGGGCCACTTGAAAATTTTTTGGTTTTCCGACGGCAAGAAGATGCCGCTTGAAAAGTGAACACGACCATGTGGCAACAGCACAGTAGCACGCATAACGGGCCACTTGAAAGATGAACACGACCATGCGGGCCATTTCAAAAACGTACACGACCATGTGGGAACAGCAGAGTAGCACGGCACGCATAACGGGCCCCACTTGAAAAATGAACACGACCATGTGGGAACAGCACAGTAGCACGCATAACGGGCCACTTGAATGAACACGACCATGTGGGAACAACACAGTAGCACGCATAACGGGCCACTTGAAAGATGAACACGAGGCTGCACGCCTAACGGTCCACTGGAAAAATTGAACACGACCTTGTGGGAACAGCACCCTAGCACGCATAACGGGCCATTGGAAAGATGAACATGACCCCCCCCCGAAGCATGAGGGATTAGAGGCTTTTCACTGGCCCCTCAAACCCTCCGGGCCCTTCACTCCCACCTGGGTGCCCGAAGCACGAGTGATAACGGGCTCTTCACTGCCCCCTCAGAACACGACCATGCGGGAACAGCACAGCAGCACGCAAAACGGGCCACTTGAAAGATGAACACGACCATGTGGGAACCGCTCCGTAGCACGCATAATGGGCCACGGGAAAGATGAACACGACCATGTGGGAACAGCGCATTATGGGCCACTTGAA